CAATACTCAGTACATATTAATACATGATTTGGAAAATTCTCTATTTTGGGTCTGATTGTTTGATTTTTGACATCTGTCTTTAAAGTCAATTTTTGTTACATGTTGCCTGTTAGGTACAGTAAGTAGGTTAAAGGAAACCATTAAACTGATTTTGTAACTAAAATGTCATGACTTGGTTATTGGTTCTTTCCTTTTCTGACAGGCAGTTTGTCACAGTTTATTGGTTATCCCTGCTCGAAGTCAAAGCTTCGACATTCTGCAAAGTGCCATCAGTAAGCATCTGGTAAATATCCTTAATTTTTTCCCCTTAGAAGCTAAAAAACAGATTAATCAACTTGAGATTCAGTTTGCGATAGTCACAAGGATAGTATGTGCCTAGAATGCTAAACTTAATGATACTGTGTGCTGGGTGTGGTGGTGTTTACCTGTACTTGGAAGGCAGGAAAATCACTGCAGATTTGAAGCCAGCCTGGGGTACAGAGTTCAAGGCCAGCCTGTGGGGGAGGGAGGGAGGGAGGGAGAGAGAGAGAGAGTAAAAACACAAACACACACACACATACCGTGGCCTCTGAGCATCATGTTGTGGTGAGAAGAGAGCGATCTTTGCATTTTCTCTGGTTATTACTAATCAGTTTTTAACATTAGAAAATAGCCTTTCTTTTCTAGGACTTTAGCTCACAGAACTAGAGATAAGGGTCTTTGAAATTATCTCAGGTCTCTTCTGGCTTGTCATGTTCTTATAATTCTTACGTGTTTGATGTCATTGTTTTGAGTATTCACCATACAAACTGGAACCTTGGTTCCACCTAGGTGGTAGGAGTCCAAAGAACATCAAATGCTTGGTCACTGGAAGCAGTGAGCTAGTCCTTGAGATTAAATTGTCTTCTGACCACTGGATAGCTCTTCTTCCTGTTGGTATTACATTCTCATTAAGTGTGCCTCCACTGTTGTTTTTAAACTTCCTCCAACATTAATATCTGGCTTTTCATGATGTGTTATGTACAGTTTAGGGAAGGACTCCAAATTTTATCTTCCTAGGATAGTAATGGAGAACCTATTGTATGTGTGCTGTAGCAGCCTGTTGATATCATAGAAAACTCTAAAAGGTTAGCCACCATTATCCTAGGGGCTTATTTGTTTGGATAATTTTTATAGGGAAATCTGCAACCCAATTTTTTCCTTTTTTAAAATACTCTTTTGAGTTGAAAAGGAATATTTCATTGAATTTCAAGTACTCTTTCTCCTTGCCAAACCTAGTCTTTATCATTTGTGTCATTAAAGATGCATCTCTGGGCTAGGGAGATAGCTTGGTGGTCTAAGCACCTGCCTGGCAAGTGCAAGGACTTATATTTGATCTCACACCCAGAATCTGGCTATTGAAACTGGGCGTGGTGAGATAGGATCCCAGCACTGAGGAGGCTGAGATAGGATCACTGTGAGTCTGATCTGTGTAGCAAGGCCATATACTACATAAATAAATACAGCCTACCTTTTTATTTTTCCTGTCTCTACCCAAGAAATTTATGCATTCCATTGTTCTAGAAAAAGATTAACATGCTAGGTAATCTGGGCCACCATTTTTAGACAGCTTCATGGAAGACATTCAGACCTTAAAATTTGTGGACTGGTTTTT